AAAGCTACTAAGAAGCACTGAAAACCACTGGTTTGCAAAGCAAAAATTGTTTAAATGAAAAGGGGGAAATTAACAACAACAACAATAAAATTAAGCTCCAACTGGCTCCACAAATCTTATGAACCAAACAAAAAAACCACCAACGGAGCACTGAGGCTACTCAGTAAAATCCCCACGCCTCAATTCTGAAGTACCTTGCTCAAGGTTATCTGAGAGTCAGCAATGAATTACCCCCTTAAAGGAGTCTCTGCAGGTCTATCGCAGAATGAAATTGTTTGTCTCCATAATTTCCCCAGTTGACATTTGTACTGCAATCACAAGCAACATTTACAAAGGGTGAGACCCAGAAAAAAAATTATTGTTTTCTGAAAGCACAAAGGCTGGCAGGAGTTTTCCACAATTGGAAGAACTAGCAGCTACAATGGCAAGCCTCCCCCTGGGGCTAATTTGCTGCTCAGGATCTGGTGCAGCTTAATCCCACAGTGAGAGTTCATGAATGTGAGTCTTGGCAACTGACTGAAGCACCGTCTAGAGGCTGCCTGTTCTAGGCAGAGGACGTTACTCAAAGGGGGCCGTGTTCCTCATCCTGTGAAAGAAAACTTTGAATGCTAGGTTCAAGTTCTTTTACACTAAGTCCTCAACATTTTACAGTAACGACAACAACAAAAAAGCCTGCAGGTTAGGTATTTTCTTAGAAAGTAGAGAGGGCTTTCTAACAATTAGAGCTTTCTAAAAATGGAATGCATCTCTTCGGGAGATTGAGTTCCCTGGCTCTGGACAGGGTCCAGCAGGTGCTGGTGACCAACTGGCTACGACGTCATAGAAGGGACTCGGGCAAGGGTAGAGAAAGGATTAGATAACTCCTAGGATCCTGTTCAGTTAAAGGATCTAAGAAAATGGAAGTGATTATCCACCAAGTTACTCCAGGGAAAAAACACTCTTGTCTCAAATCATCTAGGAATCATTTCAGGGAGAATAAATATAAGTTTTCCAGATTGCCTCATCTTCCAGAAAGACATACCCAAACTCTCTCATTCATTTCCACAAACCAAGTATAAATGGTTGGAAACCCATTATCACAAGTTTCACAGTACCATCCAAATTTTTGGGAGAAATCTGTGGGCTCAGCCTTCTCATCCATGGTAACCTGCAGGAAATAACAGGCTAGGTAATAGCTTTTCAATACAAATATTTGAGATGCAATATTTGCATTTGTTAGGATCAATTGACCTGTTCACAGACAAAAACAAAACTACAAATATGACCGAGCCTCTCATCTGAGCCGTCTTGAAAATCCACACACATTACTGCAAGATGGATTTAGTAACGTGTTTACTTTAAAGAGAACCAAAAGGATTAGACCAGCTATACGGTCTACCGCAGGTTTCTTAGCTACAAATGTAAAAATGTGGTGCCCATTTGTTCTGGTTCCTGTACCATAAGCTCAGAGTGCTCTGTACTTCTCAGCAATTTGCAATCGTAATTACATAACTAATTATTCATTTTGTTATTAATATCTGTCTTCCATCCTGAAAGTTCCAGAAAGGCATAGCTCTCGTGTATCCTCAGTGCTTGCACCTTCACATAGCAGATGGTGAAGGGGACATATTCGTTGAATAAAAGAATATTCACCTACACAGCCACTATACTATCCAAAGTGGAGACATCTGAGAGTAGGGGGTATACAAAGGATGTGGAGAAATGAGAATGCTTAGACACTGGGTGTGTAAATTGGTACTACCACTTTGGGAAGTTGATAATTTCTGATAGGGTTAATGATAAGCACACTATGTGACCTAACACATCTACTTCGATGTGTATATCCTAAAGAAATTGGATTTGTGTATATTAGATTATAGGAATGAGAATATTCATAGCAACATTGTTCACAGTTGCCCCAAATTGGAAACAACCAAATATCCATCAAAAGTAAACTGGATTAGTGTGTTGTGGTATATTCATTCAATGGAATACTACATGGTAATGAAAATAAATGAACTAAATCATTATGGAACCATACAAATTAATTTCACGAGGGATATTGAGCAAAAAAAAAAAAAGAAAGAAAAAAAAAAGGACACAAAAGAATACATATGTATGATTCCATTCACACAAAGATAAAAAACAAGCCAGTCTGAACTATATGTTTCAGGAATATAAAGATAGGTGGCCAGTTCTAACAAAATTTCAAAAACCAGATATATCAAAACGTATATAAAATCTTCCAAAGAAAAGAAAGAAATCGGAGGCCATTACTATATTTTTGGTTGGAGAATAATATAAAGGAGGGCAAGAGAAAAAGCAGAAAATCCAATAGGAAGTTACAGTTGAGACTGCCAGTCAAGAGCTGATGGGTGGCCTGATCTATGGTGGGAGAGTGGGGGACGAGAAGTAGAGGATTAGAGAGATACAACAGACGGGGACTTAGTGATAGAATAGATATAGGAGGTAAGGTGAGGATGGCGCCAAGGAATAGTCTCCCTTATTAGAAGATAAAAACAAAAAAAAACTACCAATGATAATATTTACAATATAACCCTAATTTTGATGTTTAAAGTAAAGTTATTCTAAAAATAAATTAAATATCAAAAAGAATAAAAAACTGCAGTGAATTAAAACACATGAAATGCTAAAATTCATGAGTTTATCACAAAACAACACAAAAGAAGGAAGAGATAAAGTATTCTAAAGGTTCTAGAATTCTTGGGAAAGTGGTGAAAAATGAACTAAGTCAAGGACACATACTGCAGTCTCCAGAGTAATCTGTAAAAGAATTTAAAACTAATAATATAATAGATGCAAAAAAGAAAAAAAAACCATTTCATTGACCCAAAAGAAGGCAAGAGAGAAAAATAAATATAAAAATAGGTGGGTTAAGTAAAAACAAAGAGTAAGATGATAAAAACGTACTGCCATTTACTACAAATATTAAACACCATGACAGATGTTTCCAGAATATGCAAAATTCTACAGGACAAAACAACCTGATTTCTTCAACAAATAAACTGCAAGGAAAAAAGTGGGAGGGTGGATAACCAATAGATTAAGACACAGACTGCAAGGTATGAACTACGTTTGGATCCTGATTTGAATTAAGCAACCACTAAAAAATACATGAAATAATCAGAGCAACTTGAACACTCAGTGAATAATGACTTCAAGGGATTATTTTTAGGTGTGATAATGGTATTGTACTTACTTTAAGAAAAAATGAAAAGATGTCTTACCCTTTAGAGATATATAACAAAGTAATGAAGAAACTACAAATGAAATGACATGTTATCTGAGATTTGCTTAAAAATAGACCACTTTGGTGAGCAGGGGAGGGAGCATGGACTAAGAGACGAACAAGACAGGCCAATATGGTAACAATCACTGAGTCCCAAGTGATACACACATGGGATTTATTAGACTCTTTTCTCTATTTTTGTATTCATTTGAATTTGACTGGAATATAAAATACAAAGGGCCAGAAGGAGAAAGGGAGGAAGGAAAAATCTCTAGATAGATAAGTACATGTAGAAAAAGTTTTGGCAGGATATGCGTCCAAATGTTCAAGTGGTTATCTCTGGGCTAATGGGACCACCATTTTTAGAAAATATTACAAATTTATCTCTGGGTGGGGACATTACTGGTAACTTTTAGTCTCTGTTTGCTTAGCCATATTTTCTGATTGTTTCTACAAAGAACAAGTCAGAACATTGATTCCAGAATTGTTTAAAAGGACAGAAGAAAGGCTGTCAAAAAACAGAACTTCCCACTTATAGCCACATTTCTTAACCATTTCTGAGTCCCAGCCCCTTGGCAGAATCTGATGAAAGTTACTCTCTCCCCAGAAAAAAAAAAAATGCACAATCCTATAGAATTTTTTATACAATGTCAAGAAATTCTGAGACCCCTGATGAACCCAGAGACTTTCTATTTTGTTAGTCATTAAAATAAGTAGTAATAGCTGACATTTATTGCATACTTCCTATGTGCCATGCTTCATCCTAAGTGTTTTGCAAGTGCTAACTCATTTAATCGCCCCCACCCCAGCCACCCTGAGACAGGCACTCTCATCATGCTGAATTTACAGACAGTGAGAACAGAGAAGCTAAATAATTTGCAGAGGGCCCCATAGCTACTGAGAGGCTGAGCCAGCCTACAAACTCAGCAGCCTGGCTTGAGAGCTGGGCTTTTAATCACATGATACGACCATGCATAGTGTTAAATCAAATATATCAAGCAAACATGATATCCTGATTCATGCTCTGGAGATGATGTCTTCAAATTAACTAACATGAAGTGCCTACCAGGTGTCAGACTCATCCAAACACACCAACTCATCCAGCTCACAACAGTGATGTAAGGGACTCGCCCCAACACCTAACTAACTGCTGAAGAATCAGGAATTGAGCCTGTCTTCTGACTTCAAGTTTACCATACCACACACTGGTTTCCTAAGGGAGATGGTCTATTCTAAGTCACATATGACCTCCTCATGACCAAAAATCTTTTCAAAATAACTGGGGCGGGGGGTGGGGGGGTCCAGTTCAAGAGTTCAATTTGTGGGGGCGGCTGGTTAGCTCAGCTGGTTAGAGCACAGTGCTCATAACACCAAGGTTGCCGTTTCGATCCCCACATGAGCCACTGAGCTGCGCCCTCGATAACAAGATTGAAACAACTACTTGACTTGGAGCTGATGGGTCCTGGAAAAACACACTGTTCCCCAATTAAAAAAAAAAAAAGAGTTCAATTTGTGGATCCTAAAATACACCCAGGATGCAAAGCAATCCAGTTTTTGAGATGTGCCCTCATCACCCTATGCACCAGCTGAGACATGTTGGATGGAGATATGCTTCCAAAACTTGGCACCTGAGATCCATATACAGAAAAAGAACTGTCTGCACATACTGAAGACAACTGCTAGGTGCTGTAACACCACACTGCACTCACACACAGCATGGCCTGTACAAATATCCACAAACAAATGACACGAGAGCCCTACTAATGCTTACAGTTTCACAGTTCAAGCATCGAGTTTCATTGGTGAGCGTTCCCTGAAAAATCTCATGGACCCAAGTGAGTTCTGGTTTATTATTCTCTGCAGGCTCGTTCATGTTGCCATTTTTTAACTTCCCGTTTTGTTTCTCCTGTTTCTTCTCTTCCTGCAGGATGTCCGCAATAGTGTTTAGCAAATAATTTAAAAATTCGTGAGCATCCTGCTGCATGTAGTTATCAAAGAGATCTGAAAAGGAGAATAGGATTATTTCAATCGCTGGTTCTTAAAAAGCAGACAAAAATGCTTCATATTACATGCCCCACTTCAGTTTTTATATTCAAAGAGTAGACAGGTATGGAATATATTCATCTTTACTTTGCAACTTTAATAGGTAAGTTTGAAAAGAATATTTGTTCATTTCCATTTTTAAACACTCAAAAACAAGTGAATTTCCTGTATTTCCCTAAAGTCATCATGTAAATAAAAAACTACCAAATTTTTACTCTACAAAAAAAAAAGAAAATTGCAGAAATTAGTTGATAAGTTCCCTGATAAAATATCAATATTTAATATGACATGACCACCAATGATCAATTATTCATTTTGTAATTTATCCAGAGCAACTGGGGTCTCTTCCCAAAGATCATATTAACCCTGGACCAGCCTGGAAACAGCTTAAATGAAACCCGTAAGGGAGATGAGGGATGTGTGTGAGAATGTATCTATCTGATAATGTTCTGAAACCAAATACAAATGTTTCCAGAAGCCTGTTGCCATTCCCTGCCATAAGGACAAACAATCTAGAGATGAATGCAGCTGCGAAACTTCATTATTAATCATGTTCACAATGAGACTTGGGAGTGCTCTACTTCTTCCTCAAGATTATTTCTATTCTGCTATGTATAAACTACAACAACGTTAAAAGACAGCAATCAAATTAAATGAGGCTTCATAACACAAACATCTGATTAACTGCGCAACTCTGTTGGAGTAAGGCCGAAATCAAGAATAAACATAAGTTGCCATATCAAATATTTCTGTAGTCATAAAAATTACCAATGAAAACTTCTGGAATGATCTATCTCTACCACCACCCCACACCCCCACCCCAAGAAAAAGATAGACAAAGCAGAAAAACATCAGATGACAGCAGGATATTTTTATCATATAAAGGTATCAATTTAATATCTGCCAATTGTCTTAGGCAGGTAAAAATCAGAAATATTACTTGTAAAACAGCAGGGGCTCTGAGTAGATAATATGCATTTACTTTAATCACTTATGACAAGTTTATAAGATAGTACTAGTTTATTTCATTATTGCATCAACCGATTTATTCCAATCAGTGTCCCGCTTAGAAGGCTGCCTTGGGCAACTTTTCTTGTTACACTGATCCTACCCAGAAAAAAATGCCTTCCAAATGTGGGGCAAATAAAAAGACCATTCCAAAATGGGGCGACAAATAGGAATTTTTTAACCATCTTTTTTATCCAGTTTTGTTTGATGTATACTGGGTGGGAAAGGAGAAATCTTTTCTTAAAATATATATGAGTCGTTGGCCACACTATACTCCCCCCTTTAAAAAAAAAAAAAGAGGATTCATTTTGAGGATACACAGAACTGTCAATTCTTATTTCAGACCTTGAAACACATTAGTCTTCACACTACTCACCGTTCTCTTTTCTCAGCCTTGAAATGAACTTCTTTGGTGGGATGACGCCAACCTTCTTCTTCTGTGTGGCAATGCTGTGGAAAAGGTCTGCCAGGCACGTCAGCAAGTTTTCCTTCTTTTTTTGCTGGGCCTTGTATGCCAGCACGTTCTCACGGAACGGCCGGCAGAAATACAAGGCCTGAAGCACGGAGTTACAGTAGCATGTGTTCCCGAACTGCCAAAGGACAACAGGGACGGTTCGAGTCGCGGTCTGGGGACATGGTGTGGGGACGAATCGGTGGGGAGAGGGAGAAGGCCACCCTCCATGAACAGGCCTGGATTTCCCGGTATCAGAGCCCTTCCTGCTCGCTCTGTCAGAAAACGAGTAAACCGCTCTACACGCCAGTGACAAGCTGAGCAACAGGGAAGGGAGTACAAGTTTACATAAGCCTGGTGCCTCTCTAGCCCATTAGTGTCCCTAAAATGAAAATAAGCACTCTACCTGGATAATACTGAGACCTTCTGGTGCTTAAAAGACAGACAGAAGGAAAAAAAAAAATCAACATAATATGGAGACCCAGAAGAGCGGCTGGCTAAATAAAAGATACCATATTGCAACACATCAAAACTCCTATGACAAGAGAAATAAAAATCCAAATCAAAAAGAGATCCAGGAACTAGGAACCACTTGCTCAGCTGAAACAGCCTTAACTGAATGGGATTTGTTTCAGTTTTTCTCTTTCAAGATTGTAGCGTCCCTGTCCATTGGCTCCAGACCACACTTCCTGGCTCACTCCAGAAAAATGGAGGCAAAGAGCTGCCTCCTCGTCATCCCACCGTCTTCCTCTCTCATCACTCCTAAGTTTCCCTCCATCTTCTTTCTGCCAAGATGGCAATACAGTACCACTCAGCTCCTGGTCTCCTACAGGTTAGGACTCGCACAGTAATATTGGGTTGTCAGAAAAGTCATGACTCATTTTTGCAATGAAAAACATAGAAAAAATACGTCATGACTTTTCCGACAACCCAATATTTTGTGCCTCTCAAAACCCAGATACCCAGATGATGATTCAAGAGGGATAAAATAATCATCTCACTGATTTTTACTGACTATAAAACCAGCTGAGACTATCACTCTAGAATTTTTCCTACACAGTAAAATGAAAAGGAAAAAAAAAATTTAAGGAAATAACAAGATTAACATCACAGATTTAAAAAATGCTATATGAGATTAAAATAGAACACGAACATATTCTCAGGATTGGTTGTTGGCTTGTGTGTCGTGTACCCAAGAGCCAGGCAGATGCTGCACCGTACTTAGCATGCCATTTCTACGTATGCTAAGACAGAACATTTCCTATTTTTACATATTTTAATCTAGTTGGACACAGTTATGTAATAGGAGACAAACCTGTTTTTAAAGATAAGCTGGAACTTTCATGAATTAACATTCAAAGTGAACATAAATAAAGCTATTAATAAATTTAGATCTCCATAAACGAGTAAGTGGCCTTATTCACCCCCCACCCCA